CCCCCCCGGGGCCCTCCGGAGTCTGAACTGGTTATCACTAAATCTGATTTCCAGTTTGGTAATGGAATGAACTGTATTTGGGGATTATATGAGTATAATGTTGTTTACTGCAGTACATATTGCACACATTATAAAATTGATCTTTAAGGAAAGGTGTTTATTGCTGAAGTTTATTTAGTTTGCCTTTTAGGTCTTTTAATACTCAAATGTTTAGAATTGTGCTGCGTTTTGTGGCAAAGTTATCTGGAGGGGGGTTGGGCAATGCTTCTGTAATAATCTGGGCTTTAGAGTCAGCTGAATTCTGTAGTCAGTTCTGACCCTTTCCGCTTTGTGGCGGGCTGTAGGACAAGGACACGGTAGAGCAGGAGCAATTTTAAACTACGTTACTAACAGGGTCGTTTTATAGTGATCTTTTCCAAGGCCGTGGCTTTAACCACCCACCTTCCTTGCTTATACGTTATTCAACTCCCAGAATGAAGAGGGGTGCCTTTCATTTGTAGAGTGTACATTTCATCTGGGTATTCCTGAATTAGATGAGCTGTTATCCCTTGTCTGTACAGTGGAAGGAGCATAAGCTTAGGAGCCAGACGGGCCAGGTTTGAATCTTAACTGTGTGACCTTGGCCTTAAATCCCCAAAGCCTTAGTTTTTTAATCTATAAAATAGGGAAAATAATTATCACCAATAAAGGATTGTGATGAACGTTAAATGACAATGTCAGTAAAACATGTAGCAGAGTGTTTGCACTTAGACATTCAAAGAATGTTTGTCCTCTCCCACCTAAGCTTTTAACCAGTAGGCAGAGAAAGAATTCCTATCACTGCAAAATGATTTGTGATTAGAAAGTTGTAGGCACACCAGTGTAGAAATGGAGAAGCATGAAAAACATAACTGTCAATGTACTAGTATTGAATAAAATCTAAGGAAACACTGATTATGTTCAAAGAGTTACTCAATTGAATCTTTAAGCATACTATTTTGCATAATAGTATGTTGTTGAATCATCATCCCCATTGAAATATTAAGCCTTCAGTTAGAAACTTTATTTTTTACATTGGGACATACTGAGCATGTCAGCTCAATATTTGTGTTTTTATATGTTTGCCTGTTTGTAAAGTTACTCTGTTCCAAGAAAGAAGTCTTTTCTTAGGGGAGAATCATACATACAATAAATGACATAGTTTCTTGGTAAAATTTATTTATTTATTTGTTTGTTTTTATTTTTTGTTAATGCTTACTCAAGGATATTTTCCCATTGATTTTTAGAGAGCCGACAGGTGGAGAGACAGAGAGAGAAATATCAGTGTGAGAGATACACATGGATTGGTTGCCTCCCAGACACGTCCAAACCAGGGCCAGGGACCTAGCCTGCAACTGAGGTATGTGCCCTTGATCAGAATCGAACGTGGTACCTTTCAGTCCGAGAGCTGACACTCTATCCACTGAGCCAAGCCCAGTAGGGCTAAAATTTATATATTTCATTAACAGTGATTCCGCTCAGATAAGGAAATTAGGAGGTAAATTTATGTCATTTTATCAACAGATTCATCAAGGCAGCTAGATTGGTTAATTTGTTGAAAATGTCTGTCTGTTACAGATTTGGTTGTGATATTCCCTTGCAGAATTTCATAGAATTTTCTTCTATGAAAATTTGAACTCTAAAAATGTTTCACTTAAAAATAAGACAAACCCATAACAATACAAAAGAAAATGACCATTATATTATCTGTATTTTCTGTTATGCCTGAAAATAGTTTATAGTTTTAAATATATATATACTTTTTGAATACTTGTTTGATATTTTCAGATTGCCAGCATTTGAAGCCTTTTTCAACTTCCAGAAGTGGACTTCTATGAAACAAGATGAAAATATATTAATTAACTTTTATTTAATTCTCTATCTAAAAGAATGTACTTTTATATCTGATGGGGACACATTTCCCTCATTTTGGACTCCAAATTAAATACATGAGATGATTTTTATTCAGTATATTTCACCCAATCAAGTTTTTTCATGCCTCATAATGAATATTAGTTATGTAACCTATTAGTTTATACTTCTGCTTAACTAATTATAATCACTTCAGGCATCATAATTATTTAATTATCTCATATTTTTAATGAATTGCTGTTTTAATGAATAGCTGTGAGAATATTTGTGTCATTCTGTAGAATATAAACCTGGTTTTCCCAGGTCTAGAATGACACTCAGGTCTAATGTGACATTGTGTTGTCACTGTGTGAGCATATCTATTTTTAAATGTTTCGTTTTATCAAAACTTTGCTTTATAAATTTGAAGTAAGTTGGAATATTTTCTCATTACCATGTTCACTGTTGGTTAATTGCTTTTTTCAGGAAGACAGCCTCTGTACTTGAATTCTTACACATTTAAATTTGGCTTGTTTATTTTTAAGGTAGAAAATGATTAGCTAAGATAAATTGGAAGAGTGAGCTAAAATTAGTTTTCTTTGAAATTTTTGTATGATCATAGAGAGTGATAGCCATTTTCCCTTTTTTTAAATAATGAAGAAAACACTACTGATTTGCATTTATAGATATCCACCTCTGATTATTTATTTGCTACTGATATTTTTAAGTTCAGTACTTATGAAGGGGTTGTTGTGTTGTTTTAAATTATTCACTAAAATATTCATACTGCTCCTAGTCCAGGCTCTAGTAACTAGTCATATTTGAAGTTTTTTGTTTGGTTTGGTTGGCGGCACAGGGGCAGTTAGTTAATATTTTAAGACTATCACCTAGCTCGAAGCATTTATTAGTTACCAGGAAAACCTACTGAAAAGCCTGCCTCTTCATTAACCCTGAAGCATCAGCCACTTAAGCTGGTCAAGAACCAGAATCTAGAGGCATTGCTCAGGAAACAGTCTTTGGGTAGCACAAGAGGAAACATGAGTTTTGAAATAGGAAGAGAGGAGTCTGCTGAAAAATTCAAAGCCAGAGACTACAACATGGACTGAATTACCCTTAGTGATGAAGCCAGGCTTCATGCAGGGATAAAAGATGAACTTCGTAATTGATCCTGCCTATGACCAGAGACTTTGTCTACGACAAAGAAAAATGAACCACGTGTGATGATAGGAATTCCAGAAGCTCAAGCTAACTAAAATAACCAGCTTGCAAGATTGACTTATGGGATCAGTACATCATGGCATCAGACTCATGGGAAGCATTTTCAGGAGCCAAATGGGGGAATGGCATGGTCTAAGACAGCGGTTCTCAACCTGTGGGTCGCGACCCCTTTGGGGGTCGAAAGACCCTTTCACAGGGGTCGCCTAAGACCATCGGAAAAACATATATAATTACATATTGTTTTTGTGATTAATCACTATGCTTTAATTATGTTCAATTTGTCACAATGAAAATACATCCTGCATATCAGATATTTACATTACGATTCATAACAGTAGCAAAATAACAGTTATGAAGTAGCAACGAAAATAACTTTATGGTTGGGGGTCACCACAACATGAGGAACTGTATTAAAGGGTCGCGGCATTAGGAAGGTTGAGAACCACTGGTCTAAGAGAAGAGTAACTAGTGAGTGAAGTCTAAAGCAACCCTGAGGTAAAGGGATCCTGATGTCCCTGAAGATGAGTAAATACCAAACTCTAGCCTTGGGTATGAAACATCATCAAGGCAAATCTGTAATTTCCCCAACTTGAAGTTATCCACGAGTGAACTAGCATTAAGTTCCATGTTTTCCAAAACCATCTCGTTTACACTTCAGCTAATTTTTAACAGGTCACAAAAATACAAATAATTGATAGGGAGATCAAAAAAACTTGTATGAAAGATTGATATTGTGGCGACTTTTTAAAGTTAGCTTATATACAAAATATGCAGAAAACATAGTAAAAAATTAGAAATGGAAAAAATGATTAGAAATATATTGATAAATCTTTAGTTTTTTGAAATGTGATAGCTATTAAAAGACATATAAGGAATGGTTGAATAATTGATTTATTCCTAAATTTTTTGTTGTTTCAGGTCCCAGAACAGTTTTTTTCTGGGCTCCAATTATGAAATGGGTAAGTTTTGAGCTTTTATAGAAGCTACTGAAAAAATTATCTGATAAGAACTTACTAATTTGAAGTAACTTTTATGAAGGATGTACTTTGAAATGTTCATGGTATGCCACTAAATGGTGTCATGCAAAGATTCTCAGATGTATCATTTTCACTAGTTTTTTCTGAACTCCACTGATTAGGAGGCCTGGGAACATATTTGTTATCAAAACACAATTGTGAGCCCTTGAAACATAAAACTTCATTCTAAAATTTTATGACTAAGAAAAACATTAAACTAGTTAGAGCCCTCCTCCCCAAATTAACTGTTACTGTTAATTTAGTAAGAGAACTAAAAATACACCAAAACAGAGGCAAAGAAAGGTAGTCTCAAAAAGTAGTGGGATTTATCTAAGGCTATATGTTAACATTTGGTTAGTGATAGAGTCTAGGACTTCTGAGTCCAAATGCTGCTGTCAGCAATGGTGAACAAATGTCTGTTCCAGTCCCTGCTTTCAGTTCTTTTGGGTTATGCTAGAAGTGGAATTATTAGATCATATGTTAATTCTATATTTAATATTTTTTAAAAGACATTTTTATTGATTTTTAGAAAGAGAAGAAGGGAGAGGGATAGAGAGAGAGAAATATTATTGAGAGAGGAAGTCATTGATTGGATGCCTCCTGCATGGCCCCCACTGGGAATCGAGCCTGGGTTGCCCCACTGGCAACCCAGGCATGTGCCCTGACCGGGAATCAAACCAGCAACCTCTTGGTTCCTGGGTCGACACTCAACTGCTGAGCCACACCAGCAGCACTATATTTAAATTGTGAGGAACTGCCATTTTACATACTCAGCTATAAAATGGCAAGATTAGATGAGCGATTGGGAGCTATATTTTAGAGAGAACTAGAGAGCAGTTATTTTTTATATTTATATATTGAGAAAAGATCCCAGTTTTTTTAAAAGTTTCAATGTATGACCTTTGATGATTATGCTCACACTGTAAGCATTCAAATATAGTGATATGCCGCAAAAATACCGAGACTAATGGAAGATATACTATTATTTCCTTCTTCTCCTCTCCCTACCACACTTAAAATTATATAGTAATGACTTATCTATAAAGTGGAATTGATTACTGAAGTATTGTTTCTACACCATTATTAAAAGAATAAGAATGATTTAATCTATTTACCACAAATTTGGTGTCCTCTTTGACCTCAAATTTGCCACAGTTTGGGAGTTTATTTATTTTATTAATAGCTTTTGTGTTTCTTTGATCTGTTCCACCAGCGTTTTGAAACACTGACAGTATCAGATACGCCTGAGTGCCTTCTCTCTCCTTTAAACAATCTATTTTAAGTTCGTGTTGAAATCAACATAGTCTCCTGATGACTGCATAGCAATAGAAACTTCTGTGTCTTTTTCGCTGGTGCAGAGACTCCTTTTGCTGGTTATTTACTTTATGTATAATGTGTGTTCTTCTCCCAGAGCATTTGGTAATTAATCTGTGGTAGTCTGTGCATGACATAAAAATTGCTGCTGCCAGCCATATGTGTTCTGTTTGAAGAATTTCAGACTATACTTCTTCAGGCATTTAACTATGATGGAGACCTTAGTCACTTTAATTGAAACCAAATAATCATAAAAATTATACCTTAAATATTTTATTTTAACTCAAATAATATAAATATGTATTTGTTTGCCAGTCATCTACTATGAGGCCAAAGCTTTTATTTATGTATGGATCACTGATTTTGAGTTCCACATCTTCTATCTTGGATGAATTATATCATAGTGCATCCCATATAATTTCCAGCTTAGTTTTCTTTAAAGCAGAACAAGGTCATAGATACTTTCATAATAGTATGACAACAGAAGCCTGCTAGATTTGTATGGCTTTCCCACAAATTTTTGTATATCTGTCTCATGCCAAATTTGACAGTAAGTTTTAAAACTTGCCCTTATTCAGTCTTTTCAAAATAGTTGCTTGAGTTTTCGTAGAAAGAGCAACCCACTTTGTAGTTCCCCTGTTTACCCTATAGTCCGGTGATGGCGAACCTATGACACGCATGCCAGAGGTGACAGGCGAACTCATATTTTTGGTTGATTTTTCTTCGTTAAATGGCATTTAAATATATAAAATAAATATCAAAAATATAAGTCTTTGTTTTACTATGGTTGCAAAGATCAAAAAATTCCTATATGTGACACGGCACTAGAGTTAAGTTAGGGTTTTTCAAAATGCTGACACACCAAGCTCAAAAGGTTCACCATCACTGCTATAGTCCATTAAATTATGTAGCAAGTAAAACTGGCATAGACAGGTTTAAGGACAAACACAGTGGCTTGATAAAAATACAACTCAACTAATGTAATATAGAATAAGCAGCCCACTAGCCATGAGTATTTAGCGTGTCATGGACGTCTGTTGGCCTGTTTACAGAAGGAATGGAGATCACTGACCAGACTGGGGAGCTTATTATGTGAAGAGCAGTTAAGAGAGTTTCTTTATTTTTGTTCAAAATCTTTTTGTACGGATTGAGTTATATTAATTCTCAAACAATATGCCATTTGGTATAGCTTTATTTTCTACTTTCTCCTCTCCATAGGAATAAATCAACTTTCAGATAAACCATACATATTGTTAATACCTGTCTGTTCTTTCAGCTGGAACTACTTCTATAGATTAATTCACAGTTTAAAATCTTGAGGTCTTTGCTACTATGAGCATTTTGGAATTGGAATATTCAATAGTGGTATTTCATTTTTTAAACATTCCTCTAAAAGTGTTATATGACCTTTAATAAATGAAAAGATATTGAAGCCCTAGCTGGTTGCTCAGTGGTTAGAGCAGTGGCCCAAGGACTAAAGGGTCCTGGGCTCGATTCCGGTCAAGGGAACATACCTCAGTTGCAGGCTCAATTCCCAACCCCAGTCTGCGCATGTGCAGGAGGCAACCAATCGATGTCTGTCTCTCACATCAAAGTTTCTCTGTCTTTCCCCATCCCTTCCACTCGACCTAAAAAATCAATGGAAAAAAATATCCTCAGATGAGGATTATCTATCTATATAATCTATACTAGAGGCCCACTGCACGAAATTTGTATACAGGTAGGGTCCCTAGGCCTAGCGGCAATCAGAGTTGTTGTGTGGTGTGACCAGCGGGGTGATCGGGGCCCCTGCTCGCACCCACCTCGGCTGGCCTGCCACTGCCCGGTTGGCCCCATCCCTCACCGCCACCGCTGGTTGCCTCCCTCTGTGGGGCGAAAAGGGAGCCTCCACTTTTACCTGCCTTGGCTGGCCTGGCACCACCTGCTTGCTGGCCCTGCACCCTGCCGCTGCCGGTCAGGGCCTGCGGGCTGGAGGCAGCTTCTGCATTGAGTGTCTGCCCCTTGGTGGTCAGTGTACATCAAAGCGACCTGTCATTCCGCTGATCATTCTGCTGTTTGTTCAATTTGCATATTAGGGTTTTATATAGATAAATAGTAAAAGCCTAAACGACCTTTATGGCAGAACAACCAGAATGACTGATCACTATGGCGCACACTGACCACCAGGGGGCAGACACTAAACATAGGAGCTGCCCCCTGGTGGTCAGTGCGCTGAGCCAGAGGCCGGGTTCACAGCTGGTGAGTGCAGCGGCGGTGCTGGGAGCCTCTCCTGCCCCCACGGTAGCGTTAAGCAGCAGCAAGCCGAGTGGTAAGGAGCCAGCAGGTGGGTGTAAGGAGCGAGGGGTCCTGGACTGTGAGAGGTGCGAGAGGTATGTCCGCCTGCCGGCTTAGGCCTGATCCCACAAGGGGGTCCTAGACTGCAAGAGGATGCAGGCCAGGCTAAGGGAATCTCCCTTTACCCCCCAGTGCATGAATGTCATGCACTGGGCCTCTAGTGTGTGTGTGTGTGTGTGTGTGTGTATTAGAAGGAAGAAAGGAGAGAGAAAGAAAGAGGAAAAGAAGAGAGTTAGTTTTATACTGTCTATTAGAGGCCCGGTACACAAATTCATGCACCAGTGGAGTCCCTTGGACTAGCCTGCAGGATTGGGCCAAAACTGGCTCTCCGACATCCCCCAAGGGGTCCCTGATTATGAGAGGGTGCAGGCCAGGCCGAGGGATCCCACCGGTGCACAACTGGGGCCCGGGAGGGACGCGGGAGGGCTCCAGGGTGTCCTGCCTATCTTGCTCAGTCCCGATTGGCCAGACCCCAGCAGCAAGCTAACCTACCAGTCGGAGCATCTACCCCCTGGTGGTCAGTGCACATCATAGCGAGTGGTTGAGCAGCCTTAGCATATCATTAGCATGTTACTCTTTAATTGGTTGAATGGACGACCAGACACTTAGCATATTAGGCTTTTATTATATAGGATGAGCATCCCATCCAGTGGAGATAATCAGATGCCTGAAAGCATCACAAACCTGGGCTTCAGACATTTGAAAAGCGTTTTTAAATTTGTTTACTGATGCCAAACCTTCTATATTAGGATCTTAAAATACATTATCTCATATTTAATCTTCACCAAAAAATATCAGAGATATAAATAGTATCAGCATTTTTCAGAGAAGGGTACTGAGGTTCAGAGAACTGGCTGTGCATGTTGTTGTAGTGGCAGACTCAGGATTGGAAGCTCCAGGTCTGTTTGACTCAAATCTATGATCTTAAGCACTAACATGACTGCCTTTACACAAGTCACTGTGGATCTACCCATGGTCAGGGAGTATATTATATAATCTTGTGGTATACTCTAAGCACTCTCTGAATGAACGAAGTTCAGAATAAAGATGAAAAGGAACATGGGCCTTCTGCCCTTGATCCTGAGACTATGAGTGCATAATTCCATCAAAACCAGTGTCAAAAACACAGCAGAGAAGAAATGACCATTTGTCCTCTGACATTACATTACTGTCTAACCAGGACACTAAAATTCTAACAGTTTTTCTGATACTTATACTTTTAAAAAATAAATAAATAAATAACATTGACAAAAAACTGAAAGGAGGAATCTATACAAATTACCTTAGTTTTCAGGCATCCTCCATGTCAGTGGTTCCTGACATGTATAAAGAACATATAAATTCACATGTGAAAAAATTGTCATTTGTGGAACAAATATATATATATATATCACACACACACACTACTGATTTTCAAATATATCAGGTTGCTTAATGTGGTTAACAAAATACAGATTAATTCTGAAAATATTCCGAATTCACTGTAGCTTTTGTCATGATACACATTTTCTTAAGGCATGGATACTAAAATTACCGCTATTATCGTGTGGAGATCTCTGAAACAGTTCTGTGTTTTATTTAAAGTGAAGAACCATTACTTGACAGTTAGGATGCTTTTTCTTTTTTTCTGTGTATTTCAGGGGTTGGTGTGTGCTGGATTGGCTGACATGGCCAGACCTGCAGAAAAACTCAGCACAGCTCAGTCTGCTGTTCTGATGGCTACAGGTAAATTAAAGAATACCCTTTATGTTCCATATAGGACATTCAATATTTGTATATTGTTTTACCTCAATTTATTTAACAATTTAATGTTTAGAACACATTATACACAGACACACACACACACATGCACGCACGCACGCACGCGCATGCACACAAAGGAATTCAGGGGTCATCTCTAGGAAGTTATTAGATGGAGATGGCAGAGGAGGGTTGCAGTGAATAGGTATCTGCATGGGTTTTTATTTTTCACGTTTTGTCATCAGCATAATTTTATGTCGGAAAAACATTCCAGTAAATACTCATTTGCCCTATAAATATTTCCTCCCTTTGATGTAAGAACTGAGTATTTTATGTAACAATGAATTATAGCAGTTTAATTAAAGACTTAGAGTCTAGTTTTTCTTTATCCTCTGTCCTACATTATGTTGTCATAGTCTTATTTAGAAGTTTTTTACTATAATATTAAGTGTTCAGATAAGATATTGCAACAGTACCTGTACTTTAAAAAAATATATTTTATTTCAACAGGGCTTATTTGGTCAAGATACTCACTTGTAATTATTCCAAAAAACTGGAGTCTGTTTGCTGTTAATTTCTTTGTCGGGGCAGCAGGAGCCTCTCAGCTCTTTCGTATTTGGAGGTAAGCCCACCAAGGGTATAAAACGTGTCTCAGAAGCCACACAGGTGGCAATACTTATTTTTGGTAAAATTCATGTATAATATTAAGATGGGATGTGTAAGAAGCAAAAATTTAGCACTTCTAGAAAAGTCGGATTTTAAGCTAAAAAATGTTAAGCAGTATGTTACCTAGGTTTTAAATTTGTATAGTATCTAGATGTATAGCTCTTTCATATAATCTATTTCATTAAGATAACAAATATACTTTATGATATATTAAGTAATTTTCTGAATGAACCTTTTATCACTCTCGATCATATATAATAAAGTAGAACTGAAACATTACGTACTTATGTAGTATTGGGAATGATGTTCAGTGAGGCTTCTGGTTTCATTGGAAAATGTTCCATGAGCTTTGGAAATTTTTTAAACTGTTTACTCTGTCAGTAACATTATTGGTCACTGATCAATTAATATCCTGCAATGAGCTCATCCAAGATGAAGGCTCTGGCTTTGTTTGGACCATAGAACCTTTCTAAATTACAAAACTGTCATGAATAATAGCTTTCTTTAGCTAAAAAATAAAAATTAAAAAAATTTGAATGATCTCAAAGAGAAATATTAAGTTATCATTTACATTCCTTTCAGAAGGCATTCTATGCCATAGAGTATAGCACGTTTTATTTCATTCATCTTTACCACTCCTAGGTTAATGAGTATCTTTATAATTTAATCTTCTCATAATCATCTAGCATATAATGGATGGGTGAATAAACAACTCACTCATTGTAGAGTATGCCTCACAATCATTTTTAAGACTTATTTAATATAAACTTTAATTTGTACAGTGATTTTATTTACAGAGTATTTTCCTCATATACCATCCCATTTTAACATTAACTCATGATAATAGAGCTAAGATAATGCAAAATGCCATATTATTTTTAATATTAGAAACTAAAATACCATTAGACAAAAGAATTTTTGGCACCTTTTGGTACAATAGCAGATTGAGAGATTTTGTTAGAAATGCAGACATTGGGCTCTGGAGCATTTAGGAAAACACTATCGAATATTTGAATCGGTGCCTTTTGAGAGACCTGGGAGGTATGCTTAGCGTCATGGAGTAAGTTGCTTCCTGTGCGTGTCCTGTCCTCCACTCTGCTAAGCTGAGGAAGAGTCAGTGAAGCAGTCCACACATTTTGTCATGCTTTTGTATGGTTTAAGAATGAAAATAGTCATTAAAATAATACTTCTGAACAGGAAGTTAAGTTATTTAAACTTAAGTTATTTAAACTTTTTGGCAGCTGGAAGCCAGATGCAAATAATGTCTGGGTCACTTTCCCTTGTGCCTATTTCTACCCACAAGGCCTTGGGAAGATTATAGTTACAACTAGATAACCTCTCGGCTAGTGAGAGGGAAGATATGGAATATGCTTCTCATTCCCTTCTTATCGTATACTTATCTATTGTGATTCATGATTATTTTTCTTTCTGTTTTCTCCATAGATATAACCAAGAACTAAAAGCTAACGCAAACAAGTGAAAGAGTTCCTGATCATCCCAACAACCTAGCTGTAGCCATAACCACTGGGACCTAGTTTGATTTATTATTTGTTATTGGTAAGGTGATGCTCTCTATGCTAATAATTGGGATGCATTTTAAAAATCTAACTTAAATAGAAACTAGTACTCAATTCAGCAGAAAAATAAAGCAAATTTTTAATAACAGTGTCTCTCTACATATGACTTAAGGAACTTATCTATGGGTATTAGTAACATTTTTTCCCACTCTCTTCCTGTAATAAATTATACTTACTCATTCATACCCCTGGCCTCCTCCTGTTCTAGTTCACCAAAGTATGTGTGTTTAAGAGTGCACACGTTCAAGCGAGTCAAGAGATAGTTGAAAGGTCAAGTAATCTATTTTCAGTGAAGGATGGTGAAGTAGCTAAAAGTGGAAGGAAATAGAGCTAAAGAGGGTGAGATGGGTAGAATGGCTAGCAAAATGACTTAGAACTATTTTAAGAGATTTTAACTTGAAAATTATATTTTGCATATTGTATGAAATTCTTTTAGAGCTATCAGAGTAATGAAGGATTTCTAAATGTTCGGCTTTCTGTAAATGTCTGGGACCTTCACCCCCATTATGAGGAAAGACTGAGCATAGATTGCTGCATACTAGAAATAATTAACAGTCTATTGGATGTGAGCTCCAATTTGGCATATGGAGTTTTCTAAAAATTGTAGTAAAGCCAGTCTAGTTAGAACTGCAGTCAGAGGAATCAGCAAGCAGATTATTTCTAAATATGAAGAAGCGAGTAACAAAAGAACTTGTTGAATAATAATATACTGTAACAGTCAAAAGTTGGCAATTAGCCATTGAAAACCCTGCACAACTTCATATATCCCTTCACTTTAGTCCATCTTTGAGAAGGAATTTGACATTGGCACTGCTTCCTTTTTATAAGCTACACTGTTAAATTTGTTTGGCATGTGTGTGTGTGTGTTTCCTAGAGTTAAGCATTTAGGAAAAACTTCTATTATGAAATATGGCAAAACACAAAAATAATTAAAATATATTTTGAAATGGTGTTTCAGATTTTTTTTTCATTTAATCCTGCTTTTATGTGGGCTCCTTTGAGCCCCACAGGCCAGTCAGATTACTTGTAGCATTTAGATGCAGTCATAGGCAATTCTCTTGGTTCTCAGAAGTTCCAATGATAGATCATCTCATATTTCCTTTCTTGCCCCAAACTCTGATCCATCTATTATTGAATCTTACAAATTAAATGACTAATACGTGTCCGATCAAAAATTCGCACTGCCACTTGGAACACATGGTCCAGTGGTCAGTTTCACAGCTATTTTTAAAAACTTAGGAAGAAGAATTGATATACTAGAAGTCCTTACTACCAATGTAAGTAGTGTACGCTATAAAAATACCTTTTGTAATGGTACAGATCACTTGATCAGACTAGTTGAGTTGAATTCTATAGCAGAATGTTCTACTGAGCCCCTGCTGGTGACTTCATGGGGTGTGTTTTCTCAGTGTGGGGCTGACAGACCTGGGTTTCAGCCAGGACTTCCCCACATCAACAGACCTTGGTCTGAGCTTCAGTCTTTTCAAGAGTGAAATGGGGATAATAACCGTACTTACTGTTTAGGATTGTGGTAAAGATGAATCGAGATAATGTTTTAATACAGTGCCTGGCCCCTGATGGGTGTTAAATAGAAAGTTTCAGAAAATGGTAAGCTTATTGTTGAAGATCAACTTGAAAAGTACTTTGTTACACAAAGGAATTTTTAATGTAGCTGCAAAACATACCGTGTGAACCTATTTGCACACCTTCTGAGGTAATAACTGTTTGGAACTCCTGAAACTTTCACAGGTTCGGGCAGAAAATAAGTGCTTGGGCTGGGGGACAGAGCCAGGGTGGGGAATGCTCAATAGGAGCCAGTTTCTTCCCCTCATCATCTTTGTGGTTAGGCGTTTGTCTCAAGGAAACATTGGTCCTAAGTATGGCAATGCTGTTGTTTCTCCATAGTAAACAGATTGTTTTTTCCTTTATTAAAATGATGATGAAAAGTTGAATCTTAACAGATTGACCTCAAAGCCCAGGTTCCTCTCTATAAAGCAAAACTGTTGCTATAGGAGTTTGTTTATGTAATGACAGAAGTAGAAAGCACTGGTACTCAGACTGGCTTTGCCCCTACGGAGTCTGTTTAATTATAGGAGATGTGAGTCCAGTTATGTTAAGACTGGTTTCCACACACCAGAAAATTCACTTGAGAAACAAATGAGCCCCCCTTTTCCTTCCCTTAAGACAACTGTGTTTTACAACATTTTGAAATACAGTAAATTTAAGTACAGGGTTGGGCTTTATTTGAGGATGTTTGCTTGCTTTTCCAGTTCAGCGTTTCTAAATTCCAGTTTTACATGTGTCAGTAGGTGTAATTGTAGTTGTGCTATACATATGAACTGTTAGAAAGCCAAACCATGATTTCAGCTGTTAGAAACTATGTCACCCTCTTAAAACATTTCGCCAGTGTCACATTGAGTTAAGAAACTCCATTCCAGTGCCACAGAACCAGGGACTGCAGGTTCTCTTAGGGGTGAATTTGGTTAAAAGCATCCACATGACCAGTCAGAAAAGTCAGAAATTTACCACACAAAAGGCCCTGAAAATAAGTACTGAATGCACTATAACTGGTAAATTCTATTGGCCTGGTAAAAGCCATAATCATTATTGACCAAAACGTCGTGTTTGCTTACTCAAGAGGTACTTGCCTTTGTGATGGCCACCTACCAACTGCCTCATTTCACTGACCCTTAACCCGCATGTCTAGACCAGAGAACCTGAGAGCCAGTCCAGGTCTGAGCACTAGGCCCCTGGGCTGTCGGGGGAGGGGATGCAGGGCAGTGCCAGCCAATCAGAAGCATAGTCAGTGCACATGAAACAATGAGCTGCTGATGAGGGTGTGGCCAGGAAAACGGCTTTTAGACAAAACTGTCGTTTTACTGGTCAGCTATCGACAGACATGGTACTTCCGCAGTCTTCAGAATAATGCCACCCAGGCCCCTTTCCTGGCTGCTACTCTCCTGAAAGATCTAGTCTCTAATCTAGGCTCTGGCCTTCCTCAGCCTTGGAGAAGGAGGTGGAGGTATGTGGACTGGGAGTCTCGGCAGGAAGACTGGCTGAGGGTGACCCTCTGGGAAGATGACAGGTGTTGGAGCTGAAAGTGGGAAGGCCTTGGGCTAGGAGTCAAGGTTCCACTTCTATCTGTGTCTGTCTTAAGTAAAGTTAGAAGCTTGAGGGCATGTGCTGCCTATGCTATTTATCCTGGATGTGCCATTGTTCTGACCTGTCTTTACCTCTCTTCGAAACTTTTCACATGATATCCCCCTCAGTCATCAAATGGCAAATGCCTCCCCTGTGAAGGGAGCGCTAGGAAGATGCTATGGAGGAAACAGGTGTAGAACCCGATCTGTACAAGAGAAACTTACAATGCAGAGGAAGACGCACAGATCAATAGATAATTAAGGATATTTAAACAGAAAATAGGGCACATGAATTTATAGCTAAGTGCCTAAGAGCTCAGAGGAAAAGCTGCCTTGGCTGGAGTGGTCTGGCGAGGTTTCCTGAGCAGTAACGTGATTCCTTTATGTTCAGATCACCTCCTTTTTTGGACTCAAAACTTTATTTTATATATTAATGTAAAATTGGGTGAAAACTGAAATCTGTTAGAAGTTTCTAGAAGAGCTATTTACAGAAACAATAATGGATATAATTGATCTTTAACTTCATGTTTACTTTTGGGTACTGCTGAGTTCTCTTTATGCAGAAAAACTGTGCACACACTCCTCCATCTCAGAAACTCTGTTGGCACAACTTTGGGGCCTTGCTCACCTGCTCACTCTTTTCACTCTTTCAGGACCTCATTCTTAGGTGCATCCATGTTTTCTCAGATCCCACTCTGTTCATGCTCTGTCCTTGACAGTGAATGAGTTGGCCAAATGATTGATGAGGGTACCATCAGCATGCACTGAGAGTGCTCTAAAATTAAATATGTATTGTCTCTGGGCCATAAACATCCCCAAGTGTCGTAAAACATACAAATGGGATGTAGTGTAGTACAGTAGAAAGCACATAGACTTCCGAATCTGAAGACCTAGCTTTCCAACCGTGTGACCTAACGCAGTGGGTCTGCGCTTCAGGGCCTGTGTCTGTGCGGGTGGGGAGAGAGCCATTCAGCCAGAGTAGGCCGCCTCAGTGCTGTTTTGAGGATTGAATGAGGCAAACTATATAAAATGCTTCACACAAAAAGGTCTTAATAAATTACAATTGCCACATGGAATGTGCCACATCACTATTTTCTGATGTAGAATTTAAAGCAAAAGACTATCTTCCAAAATAAAAAACTTCTGTTATCATCTTATAGGTGTTCTTAAGAAAAACTCTCAGGTACTCACTTTAGAGGTCTTTGCCTCTTCAGCCCATAACAAATAATTTTGTTATTCTAGTTTCCCATCTTCATTTGTCTTCATAATCTCCAAATGCATCTACTTTTCTTGCCTAGTAATCATAAACTCAGAAAAAGCTGTCCAGGTTCTCAGGTCACCTTTTAAACCCATGGGATCTTATCAATCGTTTAACTCATCTTTCCACTAATCACCTCTATAGCCTTGTAGTCAAACGATAGCCTCCCACAAGAAAACCCAATACTTCCTAAGTCTTCCCAGTTCAAACATTCTAAGTTTGCCTCCCAGTGACTGATAGCCATCGATCCTAGTCAATCCTAGAGAAAAATCGAACCCACTCTCCACACGGTGTTAAAACTAAAGCAAAACAGTCCATACTGTGCATGTGAGGAGGGTGTGGTAATGCCGAGGCTGAAGGGGCTGCTAGTAGGGTTGCTAGATAAAATGCAGTTCTTGAGAGGGTATTTTTATACTAAATTATTATTTATGTAAAATTCAAATTTAATTAGATGTCATATATTTCTATTTTTATTTGCTGACTCTGGGAGTCTTGCAAGTGGTTGGTAATGAGCAGGGCAGGAGGGGAAGAATGGAACCCTGCCCTGCTCAGTTCTGCTCAGACCGTCTCAGTTCTGTGGCCCCTCAGCATCTCTGTGGAAACTTCTTCAGAGCATCATTTCCTACAGAAACTACTGGCAGGGGTCCTCAAACTACGGCCCGCGGGCCACATGCAAATACAAATATTGTATTTGTTCCCGTTTTGTTTTTTTTACTTCAAAGTAAGATATGTGCAGTGTGCATAGGAATTTGTTCATAGTTTTTTTTTAAACTATAGTCCGGCCCTCCAACTGTCTGAGGGACAGTGAACTGGCCCCCTGTTTAAAAAGTTTGAGGACCCCTGGTTTAAGGTCACATGTTTGATATGTTAGCTCCCCCCACCAAGGAAAAAAAACACCAACTTTCCTTTCCCTCTTCAACCCTCCCATGAACCTTATTCTTGCTTAGCCAAATGCAGTCCCTACCGGAGGGAGAAAGTAGGGGAGTTCTTCTGTTGAATGTGGGGACCCACATTAGACTTTGCACAGGGCACTTTGTTTCCTAACTTTAACATTTCAGTTCAAATATGTGAAGACAAGTGATGTTTCCACCTAAATGTCATCATATCCTGACAACATTCCCAAACTCTTCCATCGTCCTTTATGTTTGATAGTCAATGAACTTAAGATAAAATGAACAGAACTAACCCAATGCTCTGGACCAGATTTGAACACTGCTTATGTGCCTTAATATTGCAGCAAAATGGCCAATAAACGTACGAAACAGTGCTTAATTTCATTAGTACCACCAGGGAAACAAAACCACAGATACCTGTCAAGATGGCTAAAATGGAAAAAGACTGATACTACCAAGTGCTAGCTGGGATAGAGGGCTCTGGATTCATATCTCAGTATAAATTGGTCCAACTCTTGAGAAAACTGGCAGGCTCTACTGAAGTTCAATATCCTTTGCCCCAGCAATTCCATTCAGGTGTATGCCCAAGTGAAATGCATACATATGTTCATCAAAACACATGTATAAAAAAGTTCTCTTTTTTCTTAAAGCTTAATGTAT